CTTCTATGGATGGTTTTCAGGAGGTCGGCGACATCATCTCCCAGCGACGCTTTGGCAACAAGCCAACTGAGTATTTGGTGCATTTTGCCTACTGCACACATCGAGTTGACCGTTGGTTAACCCGTGCGGAACTGCAAGCGACAGCTCCAGACGTTCTCGCACGCTACGAACGCAAGATGCAAGGCAAGCCGGTTTCTTCGGCTCCACGCCGCGCCCGCGTCCAGGTTCCACCTTCAGATTGACGGCTTCGCCCTCGCCCCGGCTTGACTTCATAAGGAGGGGGGGGTGTTACATGCAGCGTGTGCACACACGGGCCATTTTGCAGGCCCGACAGCCATTTTGCAGGCCTGCGTCCGTTCAGGCTAAAAGCCTGAACTTCAGGCCGAAAGCCTGAAATCCAGGGCTTACAGGCCCCCTGTCGGTTCAGGCCAAAAGCCTGAAGTCCAGGGCCTATCCCTGGCCGTTTCAAACTGAAAATGGCAACAACCTTTTTAGCCTGAAACGAAGGGCCATTTTCGGTCGTTCATCAGAACGACCGGCCCTGAAACTCAGGCACCGAACCAGGGTTTCGGAAACAGACTATTATTAGTCGGTTTCCCACGCCAGCCCCTGGCACACTTCGGCATTGGCAAGAGCTGCCTCCTCGGCCTGACTAGCCTCCAGTAGTCTAGAGGTAGGCCGAGGTAGTACATAGGACTTCCCAGGCACTTCCGAGGGAGGCAGTCGGTCAGTTGTAGTCTTCAGGATTCGGGTGCAGCACTCTGGAGGGAGCGCTGCGTTGTAATAGTTGTAGCGTTAGCTAGTAGTCTTCAGCGCTGGGCGCAGTAGGTAGCTGTAGTCTCCAGCGCTGGGCGCCATAGCTAGGTAGCACTAGAGAGAGAGAGAGAGAGAGAGAGCTTGGGCGGAGGCCAGAGGTACCTACTTGCAGCGCCGTTGCTCCAGCTTCGTCTTCGAGGTACCTGCAGCACAGCGCCAACATCACAGGTTAGTATCTGGTTCGTAATAAAGAGAGAGAGAGAGAGTTCTTCTTCTTCTTCTTCTTCTCAGTCCACCATCTCTTCTTTCCCTCTCACTTCTGACTTCACTGCATCTGCAGACTATGAGAGAAGAGATACAGAGCTTGGTGACATTTGATCCAGACTCGACTTTCGGGGGTTCAGACATGGCAACGAGGGACTATTTGGGATTGGTGACCAAGACTTGGTGTTAACGACAATCCCATCTTCCTCCCTCCTTTCGTCTGATCCTTATCTCTTCGTCTGTGTATGTCTGGACCTGGCGCTTTCTTCCTGTGTGCAGCGCCAGGCTCCTTCACACTCGGTGATGGATACAGTGCATGTTTAGTCTGAGTTCAAACATTGATTGGGCTAGTTAGTAGCACTCTAGCATTCTGCTTCGTTACTCCGAACTACGTGAATGAGGTCAGTCCTATCAGGTCAGTCTTTGTATCAAAGTCTTCCCTGCGCTCTTCAGCATCTTTATGTATGAATGAGAATGTAAATTGCTTGTCGAGCTTCTACTCGTATCGCATTGTCTATTCAGTCCTTTTCATCACATTGCAGATTCTCGGTTTATTACGTACATTGCATATCTGTGCATGTAACATTAAGCTGCACGACACATAAAATGAACGTGCAATTGAGCGAATAAGAAAAAACAAGTCGGGTGCGCATGGCATTCATGGCCGGTTTCGACAGCAGGCACGTGGTTATCTTGAGGTCTTCTCTCCCTGTCGATTCTTCGTCGTTCCCTTTTTCTCTTTTTCTTTTTTTTAAAGCACAGGTGGATTCTTTAAAGCGCCTTCTGGAGACGACATTTTACAAAAAAAAAAAAAAGCATACGAGGATGATGTGAAATCACACAACTCATTAAGCCGCACGTAAAATGAACGTGCAATTGAGCGAAGAAGAACACACACATCGGGTGGGCATGGCATTCACGGCCGGTTTCGACAGCAGCCACGCTGTCATCTTGAGAAGGCGAGGGGGGGGGGGGGGGCTAACCACAGTTTTGAGTCTGATGTCTGAGACTTCATTTGGCATCGGTATCGGCAGATTGCGAGGGCTAGAGGCTACAGGAGTACGTCCAGGGCGAGGAAAAGGCTTCCACCCAAAGAGGTAAAATACTAAAATGACTTTGTCCTTGGGTACTCCCTCACTCTAGAGGGCAAGTTAAGATCCGCTACTCTTCAGAAGTTGTTTCTGGTTTATGTGTTGGCTGGTGGTTTGTTATCTAGCTTGGATTCCGCTAGATTAGGGCGGTTTTTATAATGGTGATTTGGAGAAGGGGTAGATTAGGATTTGACTTTTGTTAAATTGGGGAACGCAAATTTTGTTTTAGGGTCGGGATTGGGATTGTCGGAGTCGTAAGCCTGGTTGGTGGAGCTTCGGGTTGCTTGATAATGGTGGTCTGGAAAGGGGGTAGATTAGGATTTGACGGTAGTTGTTCATATATGCATCTGTTATTTATCCTAAAAGACTTTGACAAAATGCTCAGAAAGCCAAAAAGTCTGTGATTCTTTTCAACCAATGGGATTTGTGAATTTGAAGGGTATATGGATTTTCCGAAGGTTCTGTTAAATTAGGGAGCGTGAATTTTGTTTTATGGTTGGGATTGGGATCATCGGTTTTGTAACCTTGTGAAGCTGTGGTGGGGATAGGTTTGGCCGGGAGTGCCTTACTTAGCCCGTTTGACCACAGCAAATGATGTAAGGGACACCGGGCCCGTTTCCCGGCTATATAAAAATTTGTTCAGTTAAAAAAAAAAAAAAAAAGAAGAAGAAGAAGAAGAAGAAGTTGTTTCTGGTCTGCCCAATTAGGCGGGCTTCTGTTTTGTTTCTGTAATTCTTCAGCTAGGGTCCACTTCAGGTGACTAGGTGGGCAAGGTAGTTTTGTTTTTTTTTTTTTKTTTTTTTTTTTTTTTTTTTAATACAAGCCAGGAAACAGGCCCGGCGTCCCTCACATATGTGTAGTCGGCTCCTGATTACGAGTGAGGCATCACCGGCCAAGCCCATATCGGGAGTCGAGAGGAAAACAACTAAAAAGATCTACAACCAAAACAACTGAGAAGCCTAGTCTTTCTTCTTCTTCTTCTTCTTCTTCTTCTTCTTTTCCTTTTCCTTTTCTTTTCTTTCCTTTTCTTTTTCTTTTCTTTTCTTTTTTGTTTCCCTTTTTTTTTTTAATCCAGTTGCTCAGCTAGGAGAGGTGTTTAGGTTGGTTCAAATTTGAGTCCTTTTATAAAATTAAAAAAAAAAAAAAAAAAAAAAAGAGTTGAAATTGGGAGTCTGTGGCTTCTGGTTGGAGGCCACGCGTGTTGGATAAGGATCAATTTGGTAGATTGAATTTCTGGGCTTCAAGCTAGGCTACCAGAGTGGCCCGTGCCCGGCCGGGCCAAAAATAATTAAAATTTTGAAATTAAAATAAAAAAATAAAAAAATTATTATTTATTCTAAATATGGTGCAGAATTTCGATGTGACCCTGAGGCAAAAGTTGTTCAGTTTATTTTTCTGCATAACATAGTTTTTTTCGGATTTTTTGGATTTTTTTTTTTTTTTTTTGGCTGGGACCTTCCCTTGTCCTTGCACGGGCTGGCCACCCGGGACCCGGGCGGCCCGGCTGGTAGCCTAGGCTTCAAGTTTACTTGGAAGCATTGTGCAATCGGACTCGTTTCCTTCTTCACTCCGCATGCATAAAAACAGATGGCAGTCCACACTGGCGCTGGGCGCCCACACGAAGCTGACAGATATTCAAGCCGGAGACACAGTTCAGTTACAAACTCGCTTGAATCCAACTATGGCGCCTGAGCGGGGGCAAATCCCTCTTCACCTTCTCTGTTCACACACACTTCACACTGGATCTCCCTGGATATCCCACGCACACAACTCAGTACAAAACATACACACACACTGATCTCTATCACTAAGCTACAGCGGATATGGCCGCTCTACTACTGCTGGCTATGGACGAACTATCTCCCTTCAGCCCACTTCAACTTCTTCGGGCATCTGCAGACCACCTCACACAAGACGCTATGGCAGCGCTTCCGCGTGGCTCGTGCAGGAATGAATGAATGGCTGGACGCTGCCTCTTGATTTATAGTTCTGTAAGTCGCTGGTCTGCCCCTTTCCACCGGGCCCATGGTGCACACAGTCCCTCATGGTACTTGCTGACTGTACAAAGTGAGACTGGGACTGGGTACTGCTGACTAAGCCAAGTTGGACTCACCACTTGCCCACTTGCCTCTGGTCTGCTGTGAGTAACGTGAGAAACACTCAAAAGGCCACTTCCGGACCTTCCGGAAGTCTGTGGACTTGGCCTTTCGGGACTGTAGCAGCTACGGCCTTGACCTTTCAGAATTGCTACAGCTACGGCCTCTACACAACTATCACCCCTAGTCGACAGACCTACAGATGGAACCCCTACAGCTACACAGGCCTACGACAGGCAACAGTCAACTACCAAAACACAGGTCACGGGTTCAAACACACTGGGGTCGACTTGATACTGTACATGGATGTGGTAAGGTCTAGGGATCGAGCCCTGCGTCTGCATATGCTACTGCTAAGGTGAAAACCGTTTCAATTGTCATAAAAAAAAAAAAAAAAAAAAAAAAAACAGTTGCTACTTGGCGACCAACTACAGTCATCATGCCTTAACTTGAGATCCATCGATTGTTCTTTCCAAGCCTTTAGAAGTGTAGAGCATACTGCTGAGTTTTTTTTCTTGAAGTTCTTCTTTTTTTTTCTCTCTTTTTTTTTTTTTTGGACCAGTTCTCGATTTATGCGTGTCATCCTTGGCCAGGGGCCTCGACCCACTAGCGAAGTACATTACGATGTGTGAGGTGTTTTTTGGGTTTTGTTGTAATGTTTTTCTATTTTTTTAATCGGGAAACAAATCTGTATTCGGAGTGTCAGAAGACATTTTCTGCCTTCGGTCTTCCCATTTCACGGCCAAACTCAGTGGGGGGGCATGACAGTACCCCCGTTTGCGGAGTGTCGGAAGACATTTTCTTTTCCGGTCTTCCCATTTCACGGCCAAACTCAATGGGCGCGAAGTCTTGAAAACGCCCCCTGTTTTTGAAGTCTGGATTTCCAGACTTGAAAAACATTTCTGCCGATTTTTCAGTCCGACTGAAACCCTTTTGCCTCGAATGGGATTGGCTGCCCTCGTCCCTTATACTCTGTCGCGGTTGGCAAATCCTCGGGCCGTTGAGATGGAGGTGCATCAACGATGGAATATTGTCACCGGGGGCCACACATGATCGAGAACCCCACTACGAAGTATATTACTTCGCTAGTGGGTCAAGGCCCCAGGGGCCTGGACCCACTAGCGAAGTATTCTACGATGTGTGACAGCTTTTTTTGTATTTTTTAATGGTTTTTAAGTGTTTTTTAAATGAATCAAACAAAATTGATTTCTGTTATATTTCTTTTTATTGTCTATTTTTTGTATCTGCCTCCCACGTTGGAGAAGTGCTCGCCGCGTCAGACGGGATCTTCGGGAAAGGACTCAAAGGAGGCAAGCCAGCCTCCACTTAAGGGCTAACCTTTTCACGTGGACGACGAGGGAGACCGCATACACAAAATCAGTGGTGCAACTACAACATCTTAGCAGTACTGTGCAGAAGATGTCCCATACCCTGTCTACGTCCCGACTGTAATAAAACCGCCACGTATGACGGAAAGAATGTAACTGCCCGCGATTTTTATTTTTTTTTGTAGCACAGCAAGGCGTTTACGCAACGCCTCAAAGTCTTGAAAACGCCCCCCCCCCTCCAAAAGTCTGGAAATCCAGACCAACGTGAATGTTTAATATCAAAACAAAAAATCTAGTAGCTGCCTCCTAATTGGTCGGCGCTTTCTCATGGGCACGACCACACACAGCATCAGGTGGGCCCGTAGATGCGAAGTGAGATGTGCGGTTCCTGTCTGTCACCCGCCTCCGCACGTAATCGAAAACGTCAACCACATCGTAGAATACGACGCTAGTGGGTCCAGGCCCCAGGGCCCATGCAAATCTACTCTGTACCGTTTCAAATTCCATTTATTTTTTTTTATTTTTTTTTTGGGGGGGGGGAGAAGAACCGTTCCAATTGTAATGGATGTACCGAAGGACACGGCGAACGTCCAAAATTTGAATTTTGGAAGCATAAACAGTTTATTGATTTATTTTATTTTATTTTCTATTCTTTTTGAAACACCAGTTGATGGTGCTACAATACTCCATGCTGCCGGTAATATTGGAATGTAACCATTAGCTACAACTAAGAAAAGTTCCAGCCAAAAAAAAAAAAAAAAACCAGCAAAATGATCAGCCCTATAATACCACCTACGCCTAGGCTATTAGCGTGGCTGCCCGGGTCACCTTGTTTTCCCTGGCGGCCCGACCGTGTAAGGATCAGGGAAGGTCCCAGCAAAAAAAATAAAAAAGTCAAAAAAATCCAAAAGAAATCTATGTTATGCAGAAAAATAAACTGGCCACTCTGTATTTGAACCCGGGTCTGTATTTCAACAGTTCACGGGTGTACCCACCGAGCTAGGCTCGTTAGCCTACCCAAAACTCCAAAATAGGGCCTCCCTGCACTACTTTCCACATGCACAAAAGACAAAAAAGATGCCAATGCATCTTTCCATGTCCTAGCGTTGGATTCCGTCTCATTTTGCAACGAGGCCCATATTTGTTTTTCTTTCTTTTTTTTTGTCTCATGGGGGGGCCACCTATTAATTGTCAAGGGGTTCCTTCAGTGGCAGATGACCGAAGGGACCCCTTGACAAGTAATAGGCTCCGCTTGGCTGAGCTCGGCTAAGAGTTCACACACTGCCCTTGGCTCTGTGTAGTTGGCAACTTGGCTGGGGCCACGTCTCTTTCGCTTGCCTGCACAACCCGCTGGGCCCGCCTGCAGGGGTCCTTGAAAAATACTCTCCTCCTCGATCCCCCCCTCCATCATCTGCAGGTATTACATTCGACGAAGCGTTTCCCTTGGTGTGTAATTACTAAGTAGCAAGTGCGGCTAAAAAAAAAAAAAAAAAAAAAAAAAAGTGCGGCTGTGGAGTTGTGTTCGAACTTCGAACAGAACTGCGGCTGTGGGACGTTGTGTCTGAATAGAACTGCGGCTGTGGGAAGTTGTTTTCGAATAGAACTGCAGGTGTGCGGTTTAGGCCCTTTAGGGTTCCGATGGAATTGCAGTCCAGGTGTGCAGATGAGTTCGAACTTCGAACAGAACTGCAGTTTCGCAGTTGGGTTCGAACTGGACTGCAGGTGCGCAGTTGGGTTCGAACTTTGAACAGGGACAGAACTGCAAGTAGTGTGCAGTTGGGTTCGAACTGGACTGCAGGTGTGCAGCTGGGTTTGAACTTCGAACAGGGACAGAACTGCAAGTAGTGTGCAGTTGGGTTCGAAGTTCGAACAGAACGGCAGGTGCAAACTGCAGGTGTGTGCACCTGCAGGGTTTTTTTTTTTCTTCTTTTTCTTTTTTCATGTGGCCCGATTGGACCACGGGTCAGATATTAAACTGATCAGAACAGATACACTGCACTTGATCATCTGTTCGAACAGAAGCACAAGTGGTGTAGGTCTGTTCTAGAGATGACCCGTCGGCCCCCCAAGCCAGCATTGGCAGGACCTTGGCTGATGTTGTTGGCTGCTATGCAGCGACAATATTGGCCATTAGACACCGCCGTGTGGGGTTGGGGGGGGGTAGGGAGAGGTGCAGTGACTGGCCATTGCTCGGCGCTAGCACCGCTGATTTCCCCCATCGGCAATGCCTGCCCACCCCTCGTCACCGTGATGAGGGACTGGTACAGCCTTGCCCTCGYACCACAGCTGTGGTGCCAACCTACCCTGTGGGCTGGGGAGGGATCCGGGTTGGTTGGTGTTCCCCCATACTATATATAGAGTAGTGAGAGGATGGGATAGATGCGTACTATCAAGAAAAATGAGATAGTTGAGAGAAGAATATAGCTTACCTTTTAAAAAAAAAATATCTGTAACCTAGTGTCCACTTCACTGCTTCCGCTGCACAACCTGCAGGTATGTAGTTTTCTTTTCGTTTTCCCCTTCTTCATTTTTCAAAGAAAAGGGCGACAGCCAGCGACTGGCCACTCAGATGATGTTCGGTCCCTCTGCTACTGGCTGTCCCCTGGCCGGTGTCCCCCATTGGGGGTTCCCTGAAGGCAATCAAGGCCACCCTGGGCTGAAAAGGCCACCCGATGTCAGATTAGACACAATATTGAATTTACCTGGGCTGGTTAGTCCGATGATAATACCTCAAGGTCATCGCCCTTTTAAAAAAAAGATATCATCGTGAAACTGCCTGGCCCCAGGTAATTCACGACGTTTGTTCATCTGCATCCCAGTAGTAGGGTTTCTGGACAGATTCATTCACTCTAGTGGTGAATTGGTTTGGTCTGGTACTTTTCATCTCGAGGGACTATGTTGTGTGCCCTCCCTGTAGTAGTGTTTTCCGGGTAGATTCATTCTCTTTGGCTGAATACAGGTCTGCGGCTCCTAGGGCTGGCCTACACCAAGAGGAGGCATGGGGGCTGTGAAGATGGGTTTTGAATCTTTTGATACAATTGCAGATGGTGGCCTCAGGATCTGCGCATCACAGGCCCCTCCTTTTAGCGTAGGGCACACGTTCTCGGGATCTCTCTTCTTGAAGATACGATCTCTCTCCTTCCCTCTTCCGTCCTCCCTCTCCCTCTCCCTCTCCCTCTCCCCCTCCCTCCCCCCCTCTCCCCCTCCCTCCTCCCTCTCTCCTGTTTCAAATTCAAAATCCAACCACTCTTGCTCGGCTCTGATCACTGCTGCTTATTTCTGCTCCCCCTGACTATCTTTTTTCTTTTAACCATATGCTTCTGAACTCTGCGAAAACGGTTGTGAGAAAAAAAAAAAAAAAAAAAAAAAAAAGGTCTCTATCTGCTTCTCTTCCTTGTCTTGCTTCCTTCGCCTCTAATCTCTCCTTCCGCCTTCTATCGTCGTTTTCCAAGTTTTTCCCTTACCTTTTCCTCTAATCTGGACGGGTACGAGGTGGTTTGTGAAGATAGTTGCGATGGTGGCTTTGCATGGATGATTTGGTGGGAGACTTTTTGGTAGCTCTCTGGTTCAATATTTATAGGAGGTTTCCTTGTTCTTTTGGTACGCGCCTCGCAGTGCCCTGATGATTCCTATTCTGGCGGGCACCAGCAGGATAGAGGCCTTGCACAAGGGCCTTAAACCACCGCTACCTTTCCAATATGTCGGCCGCGGGCATCTAGTAGCCTACTCCTGAAAAATAGCCGCCACACCGCCGTTGATATTTTTCATCGATGGCGCGTGGCGGCCAAATTTGAATTTGAGGCCCGCGGCCCCATATATGAGAAAGGTAGTGGTGGTTTAACCAAAAAAAAAAAAAAGGAATGCTGCGTAGGGACACGCCAGCATGGCACTGATCTTGTGCTTATTTTATTATCCGTCTATCTGAGCCCGATTTTGCACATACCATTTTTTTTTTTTTTTGAAAAACCGGTCCCCAGCTGTTTGGAGGGGTGATATGAGCAGGCCCACCTAACAGCGCATACCTGATTGTCTCCATGGCTTTTTGGTTTTGTCTTCTGTTTTTCTCGTGTCATGTGCTGTATGTTCTCTCGTGTCATGAGCTCCATGTTACGTGCATCTGTATGATTTTTCGCTTTCCATGAGCCTATTTCCCTTCGCCCTTATGTCACTCGTCTCTATGGCCTTATGCTGATTGCATCTTCCCATCATCAAGGTGACCCGGAGGCAAAAGTTGTTCAACACAAAAAAAAATTTCGGATTTTTACTAGGCTACCAGCCGGGTCGCCCGGGTCACCCTATTTTCCCGGGCAGCCCGGCCGTGCAAGGACTAGGGAAGGTCCCGGTCAAAAAAAAAAAAGAAATCCAAAAAATCCGAAAACAAACCGTGTTATGCAGAAAAATAAATTGAACAACTTTTGCCTCAGGGTCACATCGAAATTCTGTACCAAATTTAAAATAAAAATTTTAATTAAAAAATAATTTTTATCTTTTTTTATTTTTTTATTTCTTTTTGGCCCGGCCGGGCAAGTGGACCCGGGCCACTCTGGTAGCCTAGGATTTTTATCATTTTTTATCTTTTTTAAAGTTTTTTTTAATTTTTTTTTTTTTAATTTTAATAAGGACCTTCCTTGGCCCTTGCCCAGCCGGGCCCCCGGGCAACCAAGGTGATCCAGGCGGCCCGGTTGGTAAAGCAGGTGTGTTATATATTCAAAGTTCGAACGATGAGTGATCTGATGGCGTGGAATGACTGTGTCGACTTGTATCAGGGGCGAGCAATGGGTCTTCTGGCATCATGGATCTGCCTCGTTTCTCAACCAATTGCGTGAGAAGTTCCCGCGAGTCCCACTTCGGCTTATCTCCCCATATTTCAACAACTGGATGGTAAGCTACTTATGATTAAAAGTTTGTAAATTAATATCACTGTTTATAAAAAATCATTAAAATTTACAGCGACGTCGAAAATCGTATGTGCCAGGACATTGAGGAAACCAGGCCACAAAGTGGCAACAGCATCAGAAGCGCACTGCGAACTCAATTCAACCCAGACTCCCAGAGAGCATATGGTGGAACCGGTGAACCATTCGAATCTCTTTTCAAATGGGGCAGAGGGCTCTAACCATGGCAACCGGCTGGACGTCTGGACCGGAATCCAGACGGTCCGGTTGTCTGGGTATGGGTCAGGTGTCTGGTCCGGTAGGTCTGGATTGGGCCCAATTTTGAAAAATTCAATTTTTTCTGGGGGGGTCCTAGGCCGCCCCCGAAAAATGGCGCCGGTATTTTTTGGTTGTTTCAGGGCCTACCGGACGCCGCCAGACACCTCCAACAGCTCCCTCTGCTGAGTCCGATTCCGAAAATGAAGCGCTGGCTGCAAAGCGCCACAGAACATCAAGCTAGAGAGAGAGAGAGAGAGAGAGAGAGAGAGAGAGAGAGAGAGAGAGAGAGAGAGAGAGAGAGAGAGATGATATTGGTCAGATCTAAGATCCCGTCGTAGATCTGGTCCTGACCAGATCTCAGATCTGTTCTTGCGCAGATCTGAATAACTTAACAGTTAAAATTTTCATATGAATATGAATTAGAAGGTCTAACTTCAAAGTTCACAGTTCTGTTTTTTTTTCTGATTTTCGTACTCTTTTCTGAAGTGACTTGAGATTGGTCTGTTGAGAACTGGTTTCAAGTGTTGTGTGAGCCTTTGTGAACGTCTGTGACAATATTGACTCTATTGAGCTGTCAAGTTGTGAATAATGAAAGACAGTAAGGTGTCCTTAGTACTGTTTATTACTAATGATTTTTTATTTTTTTATTTTTTTTTCCAGTCCGGACATTTTTGTCTCTGGTGTACCGGTCCGGACGGTCCGGGTCCGGTCCCGTCCGGATTACCGGACGTCTGGACCAGTCCAGACAAATGTCTGGGCCTCGGTCCAGACATGTCCGGGTCCGGGTCCGCGGTTGCCATGACTAACTTTTCCAAGAGGGACGAAGTGTACCGAAATCCAAACAATCCCATTTTATTGAAAGAAACTGCCCAAGGAAATAAACAAAAGTAACTTATAAATATTGGCTCAAAAGTTCCCTTTAAAGAAACTGCCCAAGGAAATAAAAAAAAAGTAACTTCTAAATATTGGGTCAAAAGTTCCCCTGAAAGAAACTGCCCAAGGAAATAAAAAAAAGTAACTTCTAAATATTGGGTCAAAATTTTCCCTGAAAGAAACTGCCCAAGGAAGTAAAAAAAGTAACTTCTAATTAGTAATTTCTAAATGTTGGGTCAAAAGTTCACCTGCAACGGTTGCCCGTTCACCCGTCCAGTGTGTTGAAAAAACACTCGCGTGTGGCTCGCCAGAGTTGGAAAATTTGGTCACATAGATCTTGTATTTTGCCTAAATTTTGTCGGTAAGGTGCTTAAACCACTAGTACCTTTGTCGGTTCGAAAATACTCGGCCTCTGACCTTTCAGGAGGCCAAAATGAAACAACGACCGCCGATCGGATTTATCAACGACGGGCTCGGCCTCCTGGAAGTTCGGAGGTGGACCAGTACTCGTTGAAAATAGGCGCGGAGGTACTAGTGGCTTAAGATAACCATGTTGAAGGAACTCGGCAAAATGACTCCATAACTTTAGGAGAAGGAGTGCTTTTCTTTGCAAGAACAGAAAAAAGAGGCTAGCCTACCTCTTTCTCTAGTGTCGATCGAGGCGCGTTAGCGGAATTTCCTAGTTTTGAAATCGTATATTATATTATGAAAACTTTAGATGCAAGATATAGGGCTTCGCTGCACTACTCTTGAAATGTGCAAAACGAGAGTGAATCTTCCGCTAGAATATGGACAGATACACCGACATGATTTTTGTCTTTTGTGCATTTCAAGAGTAGTGCAGCGAGGCCCATACTCCGTGCCAGAACCATTTTGATGTGTTTCAATTACTTCAAACAAGAAACTATGAATGCTTTTGGAATCTATGGTGTGGATTTTACTCTCTACTTGTAGTATGCTTTTCATGATCTCATCTTATGATTTAATTGTCATCCCGTGGTTACACATATCTGGTTTTTACGTGTAGCTAAACACCGGTTGCCGCATAGCCTTAGTGGATTTACCCACCACATCGTCCTACGAGGTAGGCATCCCCGAATTAGTGTTGAAGCCATGTGAATAAGTGGAAAGTGGTGTTCATAAAGAGGTTCTAAGATCGTTCTAAGAAACTTCCTTGTACAATCTCTCAATAAGTGGACGTTTTTCGTTCTTCCCAGGTTTCGGCGGAATACGAGTTGCTTCCCATTCAAATTCGCAATTGACTATCGCGTCTTGAAGCTTCAAAAGCTTTTCAGGCGAGGTACCGTCAATAGTTGTTTGATCGGGGCTCGGAGTCGCCTTTTGTGATAATTTATATGCGATTTTCCAGATTCCGATGTTTCGCAGAAAACCTCCAATTTCACAGTAAACCTGAACGGTTTTTTCGTATCTGTGAATCCAAAGGCCTAGTAAAGAGTCAACTCCATATCGTACATTTTCAGTCACTGTTACATGCACAGATATGTGATGTTCGTAATAACCGAGGAGCTGCAATGTGATGAAAAGGACTGAATGGACAATGCAGTGCGAGTAGAATCTCGACAGACAATGTGCATTCTCATACATACAAAAGGTACTGAAAAGCGCAGGGAAGATTTAGATATAAAGACTGACCTGACAGGGACTGACCTCATTCACGTAGTACAAAGTAACGAAGCAGAATACTAGAATGCTACTAACTAGCCCAATCAATGTTTGAACTCAGACTAGACATACATCTTATCCATCACCAGGTGTGAAGGAGCCTGGCGCTGTACACAGGAAGAAAGCGCCAGGTCCAGACATGCACAGACGAAGAGGTAAGGATCAGACGAAAGGAGGGAGAAAGATGGGAATGTCGTTAACACCAAGTCTTCGTCACCMATCCCAAATAATCCCTCGTTGCCATGTCTGAAGTCCCAAAAGTCGAGTCTGGATCCAATGTCACCAAGCTCTGTCTCTCTTCTCTCGTAGTCTGCAGATGCGGTGAAGTCAGAAGTTGAGAGGAGAGAAGAGGATGGTGGACTGAGAAGAGGAAGAAGAAGAACTCCCTCTCTCTCACTGTTACGAACCAGATACTAACCTGTGATGTTGGCGCTATGCTGCAGGTACCTCGAAGACGAAGCTGGAGCAACGGCGCTGCAGGTAGGTACCTCTGGCCTCCGCCCAAGCTCTCTCTCTCTCTCTAGTACTACCTAGCTATGGCGCCCAGCGCTGGAGACTACAGCTACCTACTGTGCCCAGCGCTGAAGACTACAAGCTAACGCTACTACTACTATACTGCAGCGCTCCCTCCAGAGTGCTGCTCCCGAATCCTGAAGACTACAACTGCCGACTGCCTCCCTAGTGCCTGGGAAGTCCTATGTACTACCTCGACCTGCCTCCTGACTACTGGAGGGTGAGTCAGGCCGAGGAGGCAGCTCTTGCCAATGCCGAAGTGTGCCAGGGGCTGGCGTGCAGCAGCCTGCTGAGGCTGGCGTGGGAAACAAACTAATAATAGTATGTTCCCGAAACCCTGGTTCGGTGCCTGAGTTTCAGGGCCGGTCGTTCTGATGAACGACCGAAAATGGCCCTTCGTTTCAGGCTAAAAAGGCTGTTGCCATTTTTAGTCTGAAACGACACAGGGATAGGCCCTGGAATTCAGGCTTTCGGGCTGAACCGACATGGGGCCTGTAAGCCCTGGATTTCAGGCTTTCGGCCTGAAACTCAGGCTTTCGGCCTGAAGTTCAGGCTTTTGGCCTGAAGGACGCAGGCCTGCAAAATGGCCTGCGTGTGCACGCGCAGCATGTAACACATCCACTCCGGGATCCAAGGGAGTTGTCCCTTCAGGCTGTGTAGAGTAAAACCTGCTTAGGCTAAGCAGATAACTAGACACATAAAAAAATGGGCTGAAGAAACCAGTCCAGGACTTAAGATGAGTAAAATACTAAAAACTATATTTAATTTTATATATTGTTTTCCTCATGTAATCAGTATAATCTATAATATAATAATATTTTACATCCTTTTCCGATCCGGTAGTCCAAGCAATGCTTGACACTTTGCTAATTGTGGTCTGCTCACATGAAAATTATTGAACTATGAGGGTAAATAGTAAATAGTAAATAGTAAATAGTAAATACTAAATAGTGGATAGTTTTACAAGCATGTGTTCCATAACTTCCATTACAAGAAGGTTCGTGGAAAAATAAAATTTTCCTGTCACATAAAACCAGAGCCTTCTTGTAATGGAACACATACTTCATTCTGTTTTCCCGAAGGACATTGATCAACATTGATTGCTCGATTCCATACTTGCAGCGCATTTCTGTGGTGTGCCATGCACCGTGTGCAAATTGGTGATGCACTGATTTTGTTTTTCTTTTTTCTTTTTTCTTTTTTAAGGGATCTGTGTGTATACACACACACAGAGAGAGAGAGAGAGAGAGAGAGAGAGAGAGAGAGAGAGAGAGAGAGAGAGAACAAAGGATCCACACGTATCAGAGGGCCCATGCCGGTAATCTGAAGGGTCCTCGCAGCAATTTAACAAGGACCCTCCATCAAAATCGAGCCAGGCAGTGAATACGAAGTGGAGTGAGAGCTGGCTGAATATATACGCAGGAGTCGTATTCAGGTCTGTGTTTCAGCAGTTATGGGTTGCTCATTTTGGTAGGCCCTGTTGGTCTCTGCAGGTGATTTTCAGGGCTTGGCTGCAGTACTCACCAAATGTGCAGAATTAGAATGAATCTTCTGCTAGAATGTGGAATAATATGCCCCCATATGTTTTGTCTTTTGTGCATGTGGTGAGTAGAGGCCCTTAGGGCCACTGCAAATGTGCAGAATTAGAATGAATCTTCT